AATATATATATATATATATATATATATATATATATATATATATATATATATATATATATATATATATATATAGTCTAATTATTATTACATTTTTTGGTAGTTTTGCTAAGCATTATTATCATTTAAATGTGATTTAAACATGAGTTTAATATTATTTAAATGTGATTGCAGGTGAAGTATGTGTGTAAATATACCAAACGTAAAGAGAAATGACTGAGATGAGGATGAAAACCAACCTATTGGATCCTCAGGCTCTTCTTTTACCAGCGTGAAAACATCTGCAATCCTGATGTCCTCACACTCCTCTTTAATAAACGCCATCTTTACAAGTGTGCAGCTTCTCTGTGTGTTCAAGAGGAGAATGATGAATAAATGCAAACTAGATCTGAATCCAAGTCTTAATTGCTCAATATTACAAATATTGGATGATTGAACACTGCATGTGATGGATTAAACTCTCCACACCACGTTTGCGGTGTGTTTAAAAGCGGCTTCGTGGCTTCTGACCTGTGGTTTTGTTGAGTTTGCAAAGCAGGAATTAACTCGAAGTTTCTGGAGGCTCGGTTTCTCTCCTCTTTGCCTACAGACGCTGAATTTGTGTTTCTGGTGGATTTATCGACGATAAACAGGCGATTACTGAGCGTTTTTAACTGATTTATACGCTCCGAAAACACAAACCCTTGGCCGAAACACAGACACGGCGCAAATCTGTGACGTCATATCAGCAAACCTAACCATAATAAAAGTCCTGTTCATGTGTGGAAAAAAGTAGTGGAGGGATGAAATAGATAGATAGATAGATAGATAGATAGATAGATAGATAGATAGATAGATAGATAGATAGATAGATAGATAGATTAAACCTTTAATAAAAGTAAAGATATTAAAAGTATCTTACACATTCTAACTTACAAAATATGCGCTGGTGTTTACACTAAATGGCGGATATTGCTGCTTAAATAGCGAGCTGAATGCAACATCACGCTACTTGTATAAAACTGCACAGTAACAGAAATTCATAAAGAAATAAACCTTTCTCTTTCCGAAACACATACGCTGTGAGGGTAAAGTCTAGATAGGATACAGCCGCGGATGCTCACGTTAATATAAAATATTTTTTGTGGCATGTTAATAAAGTAGAATTTAATGTGTAGTTTAATAAATAATGTAAATAATTCAACTTCCGTCCGCAGCTGTATCTCTTCTAGTTCCAACCCGTTAGGTGCAGCTTTATGACGTCACATGGCAAACAAAACAAACAACAAAAAAGATGTGAGCTTTAGCAGGTGAAAGTAACAGATTTATGAAGTAGAACGCTTTCTCGATACTCTTGTCTGTATCAATAAAACAAAATTACACATTTTCCCAAAACACAGAAAAACTTTGGTGTAGGAACAGTACCAAAATCAATGCACAGATGTTTCATCTTGTAAAATACAGAAAGCGCAGATTGTGTTAATATTCGATTGAAATCTTTTCAAATAGCTGCTCACTGGGTAGAATCTGTGAATTAATTTAAAGGACACTTCTCTGACTTTGTTCACAATCACATCCATAAATGCAAATTCTCCAATAATAAACCACGTTTTAAGGTATTCATCAGAGAATTGAAACAATTACCCTGCTGAAAAATCCAGCTTAAACCAGCCTAGGCTGGTTTAAGCCACATTAATCTGGAAGTGATTGCGTTGATTTTGGCTTTTTCGGGGTAAATTATTGTGATCTCCCGATAGCTACAGATAAATACTGGGAAATCTCTGTAGACTGATGGCATTTCATGTCATTTAGCCTTATAATCTTAAAATGTCAGCAAAGTCACCTGTTTTGTCGTCACTTTAGACATTACGTTAGAGAATCATTCAAACACTAGCTCTAAAGTGACATTGGTGAACTAGTTACGGCTTCTGCTGTTCTGACGTCAGCTGC